GAATGTCAGCATTCACACAGTCGTTTCGTGTATGTACGAAATATTTGCTAAATATCATTATTTCTCACTTACACCGGCAAATGTCGACATTCAGCATGCACTGATGGTGAATGTTGAATAAAAATATTTTTATTACGTTAAGACTAAAATGCAACTTCTTAATATGTCAAAATAGGAGAAAGCTTAAGTAACAACACATGTAAATAAACTGTTGAACCAAAAACAAACAGTACATTCTAAATCATTAAAGAAAATAATACAATAATAAACTTACACATAAATTATGTGATTAACGTTATACAATCTTATTTATTGCAACAACTTAAACTGTTATGGAACTTTGAATTTCACAAGAGTCCCTTGCTTTTACAACTGCATTTATTCGTGGAACACTTCTTATTGCAATGACAGCGTGTATAGCCTTGCTCTCCACTTTTCGAATTAGCTGTAGCTGCTTCTCTCGGCGATATTTCTTGAGAAGAAATCTCATCTATGGAAAGTAACTTTTCTTTACAAATTACGAAGTGATTACGGGTATAAAGCTGCTTCAGGATACCATTTTCGTTTGCTAAATTATAAAAGTCTGAATCTTCTATTCCAACCACAACCGCAATACATTTCGGGTATCTGTACGGCCACGATCGACATCAGGAACTTGTATTCGTACGGTATCACCAATTTGAGCAGAAGAAAACGGCGAAAAATTTGGCGACAGACTGTCGCCTCTCTGTCAACAAAAGCTTCTGGGGTGTCGTTTCGACCTCCACCAAAGCTTATCTGTGCTTGTCGACATACACTGGCGATTGTTCGAATGTATAATAATATAACCAAATATTCTGTCTTTCACCGTCGTATTTTGTATGTGTCGACATTCACCGGAGAATATCGACATTCTCTAATTTCGGTCTTTTACAGTAACAGCGTTTCCGTAAACAAATAAAACAAAATACATGTATAAAAGACTTTCAACTTATTTTGCATTTCTCGGCATTTCAAGGTCCCCCCCGATTCCAAAAATGTAAAAGTCTTTGGGGGGCATTTTTGACTGATCGCCATACTTTCCCTCTTCTGTAATAGCCGCTAAAACATAAAATGTCTTTTGTGAAACGCGTGTTTCTAAGAAACCGATTTGAATTCTAACTTTTTCTTTAGAATAAGCCATTAAATTTTAATAATTAAATGATAACGATTTACTTTTCCAGCTTTGTTATGTATGCATAACAAAGGAAAGTATTGGAATCGTGTCAGATTTGACTCTCCGAGTTTTTTGCAAATCTGCGCGTTTTGTAACCTTTTAAACCTAAAATAAGCAAAAACACTACAAAAAATTCCATGCACGTGTGTCTCTGTGTGTGCGTGTGTCTTGTCATCTATTTCGTTTAATATCTCAGGATGGAGTGAAGATTAAGAAACGAAATTAGGCACGGTAATTTGTATATAAGAGACATTGATGATATTAAATTTCGGTAGACAAAGGACAACAGGATAGGAAGATAAAGGGAGTCATGTCTCGACAGGGATCAGACTTAAGGAAGATTTTACTCGTTATTAGCATTTACAACCTGCCCTCGAAATTAAGCCATTAATAATTAATAATATAAAAAGGTTTTTCGATAAAATTGCATAATAAATGGAGCTACACACAACTTATTTATTAATAGTGTAATTAATAATATAAAAGTTATTCTACATTTTAAATATAATCTCATAACAGCTGGAAAAGTTATGCAACTCGTTGTTGGAATTTTTTTAAAATATTTTATACTCAATGCCTGATACCTGTACCAGTTATTAAAGCATTATTTAGAAAATAAAACAAGGATATGATTGTTTCTACGTACATTCTATCGACTTCTTTCTTCAACGGAAAGTCCTTCCTTACTGCAAATGCTACGCTAATGGTAAGAAATTGATCATTGGATATCATAAATTTTCCAATTAAATTTTTCGGTGTCATCAAATCAAAAACTATCTCGTAATTAATAAAAGCGCAACGATCCTGGGCTGTACGATAAAAGCATTGACCCATATCTTTTATCAAGCCATTTCGATTTCTCACGGATTGAGCAAAAAGCTTCATTAATGTTGAGTTTGAATTCTAAAACAAACATTGAGAAAATAATTATTATTTTAAATTGATTTATTAAAAATAAATTCATTTTATAATAAAATAAGACTTTAATACTATTTTCAAAAGTGAAATCGCAACACCACGAAGGAATGCACATAGTTACATGTACAGTACTGCATATTGCAGAAGACAAAGATATGCAAATGGTTAAGTTTGCGTATGCATCGGGTCACATGGTACCCACTTTCGGACTATAAAGACCAGCAGCCGGCTCGGGCCGTAAATGCGACAGTTTGCGACACAGTCAAACTTTCAAAGAAGCAAAAGAAATGCCTCGGAGACGACAGTAAGCTGAATACCACCAATTGACGACTGGAGAACGAGGCCGTATCCTGGAACTACGCTACATCGGTTTGTCGAGCGCGCAGTTGCCACGTGTGTTTGGCACAATGTACAATCCAGCAATATGTGATAGGATGGACACAAGAGTATCTGCAAACACCTTGAAGAGGGTGTAGCGGTGTCCCAGGGAACGCTAAGTACCAGCTCTTCTCACCAAGTGTTGCGCCACAACGGGCACCAAGTGTTGCGCCACAACGGGCAGCTATGATGCACAACGGGCATCATAGCTGATCAAACACGATACCCCCTATAGTGTTTGATCAGCAGACAGCTCTGATGCACATTTCTGGTACTCTGACAGCGGACCAATATGTCACACGAACTCTGAGGCTTGTGATTCGGCCACTGGTGCAGGCCTCATTCAACACGGTGTTCCATCAAGACACTGTCCGACCGCACTACGAACTCTCTCCAGCCCGAACGAAATTCAAATCCTTTCCTGACCTGCTACCTCGCCGGATTTCTCTCTCCCATTGAACATCCTAGTTAGTCGCGAGTTCGCGCCTGCTTAACGAGCTAGTCGCGAGAAATTTTCCGGATTTTATTCATGTGTCTAATATCTAAATAGCGGCCTATTTTCTATAAAAGTCTTCCCCGGAGCTTGACATGTCGCCGATGCGTTGCATTATCTTAATCGAATAAAACCAAATCTTCTTCGTGCCCACAAAGTGAAAGGGAAAAAACTGAAATTTTATTTAAAGTATTCTAAATTAATTTAAAATATAGTAGTAAAATCACGCGAGGATCGAACGAATACTAAAAAAATTAATTAAATGTTCGTGATAAAAGGTACTATATAGATTTATAAGTGTAATAATACACGCCACATTCTGATTTACTTTAGCTCTTTGCAAAAACGACTTCTGGCACGCAACGATTTTGTAAAGGTCAGAAAAACTATTTTCTTGTGAATAAAAAGAGATTTGTTCGATATAAATTATTGTTACAAGTTTATAACTGATGTAAAACTTTGCTAAATCTAACTAAAAAAAATTAAGTCAATTACGAATAAAATTTATATGTTCAATAAAATTTCGTAGTTTTCTATTCTTTCTAATCAATTATTATTGATTTATTTCTATTTACTGTATACAACTGTTTACAAGATGCTTGAGGCTGACTGGATCTAGTTCCTAGTTTCCCTCCTCCAGTTACATCACTAATCTATAGTAGTCATATATTTTTGTTTGTAGTCCTGTACAAAAGAAGAGAAATGAGTGAATGCTCTTATTAAGTTATTAATAAATATATAAGGGTACAGTTACTTTCTGAACACTCTGTAGAATTGGTATAGAAATTATTAGTAATGTTTCGTTCCTAATTGATATAATGAAATCTACTAAAATTAGTTTCAGTGTAACTATTGATATAATTTATCTGTGATCAATTGTTGTTTGGTTCGTTTCGATGCTTCATGTCGCGCTGATGTAAGGAAGTTTCAATACTTGAAACCATGCATTACCATAAAGAATGTTTCCGTTTTAAATGTTTAGGATCCAAATTCCTGTACGTAACTTTCTAACTAATTCACAGTTAAATTTTTCTGTTTACCCATAGCTACACACCAACAGAATGCCGAAAATCTATCGGGCTAGTTTAAGGCTAATTACTAAATAAATTACGTAACCAATTTGGCTCTAGAGGTAAGCGTTAGGCGCCATCTCTTATTAACATTAATAATTATAAATAAATTAATTAATTTAAATAATTTAGAACCGCCTTGCCGGGGCTTGCGATGGCCGGTTGAGTGCCTTATTGGATGTAGGACGTGGGCACTGAATGTGTCCCCAGCCGGCGTTGTAATAACCGTCGATGGTTATATAGTTAGCTTCTATACGCTGGAAGAGGAGATCGGACTGGAGGTCCGGATAGCGTAACTGGCAACGCATCTGCACGGTAAGCAGGAGTTGTGGGTTCGAGTCCCGCTCCGGGCCGATTTTTTCTCCCAGCGGTTCTAAATTATTTAAATTAATTAATTTATTTATAATTATTAATGTTAATAAGAGATGGCGCCTAACGCTTACCTCTAGAGCCAAATTGGTTACGTAATTTATTTAGTAATTAGCTTTAAACTAGCCCGATAGATTTTCGGCACTCTGTTGGTGTGTAGCTATATTGTATATCGGGTTTGTATGTTTACCCATATTTTTGGTTGAACCGAACTTGACATAACGGAATTTTATTATGTGCATACTTTATACTCGGAAGTTTGATTACTTTACTCACAAGAAATTATCGTCCTTGTGCAAAATACAAAGATGAAATGTAACTTTATTCACAAAACATTAAAATGTCAGCACTAGGATTTGTGTCAGTGGATTGACGGAGTAAGGCAGTGGAACATATGGGTGATCTGCCAATGGGGTAACTTCTACAGGACTTCCTATGTAGAAACTGAATTCTGTTTAGGTGTTAGACACATTAAGAAAACTCAGAACACTGCATGGTAACCAGCACAAACCAATGACCAACTACTATTGGTCAATGGTTTTATTTATTCGGCCACTGGTGGGCTTGATTTGTGTCGCTGTATGAAGACTTTTGGGGCATCCTGTATAAAAGAAACTAATGAACGATATTGACCATTAACCCGTGCAAGTTCGTTGTGTGTTGATCAAAACCCCCATTCCTTGTTTTTAAGGTCAATTTAGCCTTGAATGTGACGTTGAATCATAGAATTTGGAGCTCTTTGCGTAATACACAATACCCTTTTTCGGACCCGCCCCTCGACATTCGGCCGCCTCATTTTGGGCCTGATCGAACCCATTATGGGCTTGCTTAGTGCCCTCGGGATGAATAGAGTTTTAAAAAACTACTCAACTATGGAAACAAGCTATAGTTTTTTGAAGCACTTATTTAGCCCTCAAAATGGTCAAACGTGCAAATTGTGTAGTAAAACATCACAAATGCTTATAAAATATGCATTATCGGACAACTTTAATTTAATGCACTTGGATTCAAATCGTGTTTATATCGGTGTTTTTACATCATAGCATTCAAGAAAAAACATCCGCAAGTGCATACAAATCCAAGGCTTATTTAGGAGAGATCGGGGCAAGATCGGCATGTTAAGCTTTACTTAAATTTTGTGTAATAAATACTGCTGTAAACTGAAAAAAAAGCTTTGCATATTGTCTATTGCAGTGATTCTCAAACTTTTTCGATCTACCGTCCCCTTTGTTCCATAAAGTTATACCCAACGCCCCCTAACCCATTTTCTCTTGTGTGAGAAAAGGATTGGAAATATTCTTAGGAAAACTTTTCTATGAATTTCACACTTTGTGCTCTTACTGTACATTGTTCTCATCATCTGGAAACCATTAAACGCAATGTTTCCTCTTATCAGC